ATTCCATGCTGAAAAAAAGAAGAGAGAAAATACAATATATAGAAGAAGGCTCCACGGCCGAACGTTGTGTTTTCTCTCTTCTTTTTTTCAGCATGGAATAAACCTATTACTTGTTCCTTTGCAGCCTACGCATGCTGACGCAATATATTCTATATTACATAATTGTCTGTATATATATATAGTCTTATAGGTATACAAATTGTATATAAATTCTATATCATATACCGTAAATATATACAGGTTGAAAATCATTTATCCGAAAACCTCCAAAATCCGAAAGTTTTTTTAATACTGACATGACACGCCACAAATGGAAAATTCCATCACGTGCGGGATGGTTCCACCACGTACAGCTGTTGTGCGCTTTCACCTCCACGTAAAACGCTATGTACAGTATGAGTGTAACATGACTACCGTGATTGTTGTGTTACAAATATAATGCTGACGTTTTTAGTTTTCATTACATTTATCTGTAATCAAATTCCATGTTTTGTTTTTATACAAAAATCTTTATGTACTGTAACCTTTTAATCAAAACACGACTTCGTAAGTGGATACTGATAATTTACCGAACTTTCAAGCTCACAGTGATGTCATCGATGACGTACCCTCTCCCTCACGTTTCTCGGACCTGATGTAGTTGTAATGTCTCGGGCTGCATTTATCTTCAAGTTTGTAAGCAGTGATCATCATGTTTTGATTTGGTTTTTTTTGTACAGTAAGTACAAAACGTTATTTTTACGTGAGATCTGAATTTTACCTCCATGTATGAGTGTAGCTTGACTAGCGTCATTACTTGTACATTACTTTAAAAATAAAATGCTGACTTTTTTCAGTTTTCATTTTATTTACCTGTTATCATATTCAATGCTTAGTTTTTACACCTTACATAAAACTTAATACCTGTATAGTAAAAAATAAAATACAAATGGCGTATGTGTACTGTAACCTTTTAATCAAAATATGACATCATAGGCAGAGACTGATATCTTACCTTTCTGATGGTATTATGTTTAAAAAATTATATAAAACTACATTCAGGTTATATGCATAAGCTATATTATGAAATGTAAATGGATATCGTGTTTAGACTTGGGTCCCATCGCCAAGCTGTCCCATTTTATAGATGCAAATAATCAGAAAAAATCCTAAATCTGCAACACTTTCGATCCCAGGAATTTCAGATAAGGGATTCTCAACCTCTATTACAATGTTTCCAGTCTCTGACCTCCCAGACACTGTCTCCTGTCCCTGACCCCCCAAACACTGTTTCTCCTCTCCCCACTCCCCAGACACTGAGCTTCCTCTACCCTACTCCCCAGACACGGAGTCTCCTCTCCCCAACTCCCCAGACACTGATTCTCCTCTACCTATCTCTCCTGACTCTGTCTCCTCTCCCTTACACTGTGTCTCCTCTCCCTAACTCTCCAGACACCGTGTCTCCTCTCCCTGACCTCCCAGACACTGTGTCTCCTCTCCCCAACTCCCCAGACACTGAGTGTCCTCTACCTGTCTCCCCAGACACTGAGTCTCCTCTGACTGACACCCCAGACACTGTGTCTCCTCTCCCTGACCCCAACCTTCCCCCTACATTAAGACACGATGGCTCTTAAGTGTCGCCGATAAAGAATTCATAGGCGACCTGTCAGGGCCTTGTAAGCGGGCAGCCGACACTCATTCAATTATTCAGGTGACAAATTAAAGTTTAATCCTGACCAAACAGTGGGGCTATTATCTGACAGAGGTGTGAGTGAGAGTGAGGAAGAACAGTTAGCATGAGCTCTGTCCACCTCATCACCTGACCCGAGCCCCAGCCCTCTCAGTATCAGCACAGTAATGACCCTGCTGTCGGGCTCTGTGGGTCTGCGGTCCACTACACTTCATTGCATTATGTGTTACTGAGTTCTGTCTCTGAATTGCTTTCTATCACATGCATTAAACAGTATTCTATTGTACACTGTCTTCTACTGTGCAGGGGTCGTTGTGCTGGATGGCCTGTATGGCTGTGTGTTGTGCTGTACTCCCAGGTTCTGCAGGAGCAGTGGGGACTGACCGTCACAGTGCTATATTGCCTGTGTGCCTGGATATGTTATCACTCTGTATCCTCTCTGACTGTCTCTCAGCAGACACTCACGGAGGTGAAGCGTCTCTGGTATCAATCTGAACCTGCTGAAGAAATTAGTGTGTCTGCGAGTCTGTGTGTGAGTGAGTCTGTGTGAGTGTCAGTGTGTGTCTGTGTGTGTTTGGAGACTGGGGGACAGACTGGGAACTGACAGGGGAAAGATTGGGGGACAGACTGGGAGCTGACTGGGACAGACTGGGGGACAAACTGGTAGCCAGACAGATAAGAGTGTTTGAGCTGCACTGCGCTGAGCTCATGACGGCGTCTCAGTGTGACGCAAGCCCTCATTAGAGTTAATGACACTGGTGTCATCCTGCACAGAGGCAATTAGCCTCTCGTAAGGATGTCATTATAATTAAGGCATTAGCGTAAATTGCAGAGTGGGATTAAACAGCGACATTGTCTCAGCTAATTCCAGTCATGGAGACTCCTGTGTCACACTCCCTGTTCCCCGAGAGACTCAGTTACACACAGCAACCATTTACTGCAGAATCCGTCTGTATAAATACAGTAGAGTCGCGATTATCCGACATGCCGTTTAATCCGACATAGCCAATCACCAGTGTACAGTATTTACTGTGCACTATGCGTGCGCCTGCATAAGATTTTGCCCAATCCGATGCTGCTCTGTCACGTGCTGCCATTGACGTAGTTTCATTTGCTAACTTCGCGCTCGTGATTGTTTTTCCTGTTGTCTTTGGAAGCGGCACCAGCTCACGCTGAACAGCAAGACGAGGCCACTGCTACTGATGGCATGTTACTAAGACCTCGCCGCAAGGAAGAGAAGCACATCTGGGAAACAGATTCCAATCACTCATTTTTTTAAATAATAACTAACAATAGTTCTGTACTCTGTTATTTTAGTATTACAGTAGATTAATAAACCAGATTTCATTCATATACTGCGCTTCCATTAATCTATGATTTGTCTACTCAGTTTCCGCATTATCCGAAATTTCCAATTATCCGATACTATCGGCCCCGGTTAGGTAGGATAATCGCGAGTGTACTGTACTAACACCCACGGGTGACACAGCCTCCACAGTGAGCCCAGGAGCTCTTGTCGGTTTCCAGTGTCACAATATCCGCGATCTGCCCGGTGCAGAGGGGTGGAATGACAGAGACAGACGATACCGGGACGTGTGAACGGAGAAGTGGGGTACTAGCGCCACCTGGCGCATGAAACCGTCAAAATCCCCGCAAGCTCTTTAAGCACCAGTGAACAGCGGCAGACGTGAATAACCGGAATGTGAAATGACAGGACGTTATTTTATAATAATAATAATAATAATAATAATAATAATAATAATAATAATTGCTTACACTAATATAGCGCTTTTCTGGACACTCCACTCAAAGCGCTTTACAGGTAATGGGGATCTCCTCCACCAATGGGGATCCCCTCCACGTCCAATGTGCAGCCCCACCTGGATGATGCGACGGCAGCCATAGTGCGCCAGTACACTCCCCACACACCAGCTCTCAGTGGGGAGGAGAGCAGAGTAATGAAGCCAGTTCAGAGATGGGGATTATTAGGGACCATGATTGGTAAGGGCCAATGGGAAATTTGTCCAGGACACGGGGTTACGGGAGAAACGCCCTGGGATTTTTAATGACCACAGAGAGTCAGGATCTCGGTTTTACGTCTCATCCAAAGGATGGCGCCTGTTTACAGTAGAGTGTCCCCGTCACTATACTGGGGCATTAGGACCCACACAGACTGCAGGGTGAGCGCCCCCTGCTGGCCCTACTAACATCGCTTCCAGTGGCAACCTTAGTTTTTCCCAGGAGTCTCCCATCCAGGTACTGACCAGGCTCACACTGCTGGGCTTCAGTGGGCTGCCAGCTGGGAGTTGCAGGGTGATGTGGCTGCTGTGTGATATTTTCTGGAGTCCGCGGCTGTTCCTCTACGCCCCGCCGAGGGAGTGAATCAGAGGCGCACAGCTCGCACCCAGCGTCGGAGCTTCAGTTTTAAACGTCACACCTCTCCTGCCTTTCCTCTGCCATATGTATTGGTAAAATATGAGCAGCGTCAGACTAGCGTTCCTTTTCGCGAATTCTACTGGGAATTCACTTTACTCCGAGAACAGCCGATTTAATTAGACAAAGTGGTGGGAATTCTACACCAGCTTCGAGAGAGTCGTCCTGTTTGTTAGTTTGTTAAATAAATGCTCTAGATTTGTGTTGAACATAGTAAGGTTCATTTTTATAACAAGTTTTATACAGTATGTGAAGTAGGGACCTGCGTCAGCACGCGTAGGCTGCAAAGGAACGAGGTTTATTCCTGAAGAAAAGAGAAGAAAAGAAACCCGAAGCCTCCACAGCCGAAACGTTGTGTTTCTTTTCAGTGTGGAATAAGTCTGTACTTGTTCCTTTATAATGCAATATGCGTATATGTACGGAGCCCGGGAGGGGCCATCAGTAAGAAAAAAAAGTTAAATCGAGTGAACGATTTACAATTCGTGCGCACGAAATAACGTTTTCTAACGTTATGTATATATAGGAACAAATAATATCAAATAATGCTGAGAAGAGAAAAAAGAAAACACAACGTTTCAGCCGTTCCGGTGTCATGTATATCTGTATATATGTTGTACATGAAATTAGATAGTAATGAAGACGGTGCACACAAGCACAACACACCCTCTAGCGGACACACATATAATTACATATAAATACATATAATTACACACATTCTCTCTGCATACGTCATAGTTCACGCCCCCTTCAGTCAGGAAGGGAAGTTGAAAGTCTATAGGCCAGCTCATCCATCAATTACACGGAGTTCTGCACGTCATACACACACGCGTGTACACGGCTAGGACTGCGACTTTATTGGCTTATTTTGTTGTCAATCTTCATTCACTGTGCCCGCCCTTTCCATAATACTCCGATATGATTGGCTCAGTTCAGAGCAGGAAGTCAGGCTACACTGAAACAGAAACGCGCGTGTGGGCTGCAGGATGGTGCGATTCAAGTCGAGGTGAGGCGAGGAATTGAGTTGTTGTTGTTAAATAAGAGTTGAAGCTCATTATCCCAAAGCCGTTAAAGGTTTTCTGTCATCTGAGAGTGTGACAAGTTGTCGTGTTTTCAGTATTGGCAAAAATATCAAATAATGTATGAGAAGAAGTATAACTGAATTTATATTATATATAGCTGAGTTTCTATAATAATTTCTGAAAACTGCTGTCCCATTATTGTCGATTTCTTCAATATCCTGCAGGACCCCATGTCTCCTGATCCCAGTAGGAGCCCCGCTCCTGGACGCGCTAGTGCATTTTCAGATGTTTAAACATGTAGATGCGCTCGGTCTTCCGCTGTAATGCTGCGATTCCCTCGGCCGGGTCGGGCCTGTCGAGGAGAATCGGACCCGGCGCGAACGCAGCCCGGCCTCCCCCCAGCGCGTCACTCTGTCTCTGCCGCAGATACCTGCTGTGCGAGGTGCGGATGTCGGACCCGCCGTCCCTCCAGCTGCTGGACGATCGCTCCGTGTTCACGGCCTTGAGGAACGCGGTCTCCCGAGCTCATGGGGACTACGGAGCTGGGGTCTGCGGCCTCTCCTTCGCAGGTAGCGCCTCCCGCTGGACGCTGTACTGTACCGCTTTGCCCTGTCCTTCCTCTGGGCTGTGCAGCTAATCTCCTGCCCCCTGGTCTCCCGCAGTGAAGTACCTGAACGCCCGGACAGGGGTGCTGTTCCTGCGCTGCCGCAAGAGCCACTACCGCCTGATCTGGTCGGCGCTGCCCTTCGTCAGCAGCCTGGAGAGCCGGGGCCAGCGGCTGCCCTGCGCCGTCGACTGCCTGCACGTGGGGGGTGAGGGCCGGGACCCCGAGACTCTGCACACGCCCCCGGGCTGCTGAGGCACTCACCCCTGTCCCTCCGCTTTCTGCAGGGACAATCCGGACCTGCCAGAAGTTCCTGATCCGGTACAACGCGCGCCAGATCCAGCGCCTGCTGCCGCAGTGCCGCAGCGAGGGTGAGGGGCGCGGGCGAGCTGGGTTTCGGGGGGCCTGTCCCTGGTATTGAGGGGTGGCAGTGGGGCAGTACTGTACCTCAAGCCCTGAGCAGACATGATGTCTGGGGGGGCTGGGGTTCAGACAGAGACGTGTGGGGTGCTGTCTTTGCAGAGGAGTGCGTGGAGGTGCGCAGGGCAGTGATGAGCTGCTCGCTGAAGGAGCTTGAGGAAGAGGAGGAGGAGGAGGATGAAGAGGTCTGCTGACTAAACCAGGTGCTGGCAGAACAGCGGGAGGATGAGCCCCGAGAGCTGCCTTGGCCCGGCCCTGCTCGGCTCACTCTCGGCACCATGTCTCGTGAACTAGACTCCCTGCACCCGGCTGAGGAACCTCAGTCTGGCTGGGGGTCAAGAGTCCCCCCTTCTAACTACTGTTCACAGATGCTCCTGGATCAGTACTGTCCAGTCACTGCTGTGGTGTCCAGCTGTAGGCCAGCAGTTTTCTGGCAGGAGGGTCTCTCAACAGCATCATAACCCCCTCCTGGCACGCGTCTTGGTCTTTAAAGATTCCAGACTGATGGGGTCGGGTAGCTTGTAAAAAAAGAAGCTGGAGTTGAAGACTCTATGTAGTGCTTGTGCTGAATGGTTCGTCAGTGTGTATGTTTCTGTAGAGGGGTGAGGTTTCTGCAGGGCAGGGTCCAGAGCCGTTGGTTTTTAATGAAGAATCTCAACAGACTGCCCGTTGCTTCATGCATTAGATAAATACATTTATTGTAAAAAGGCAGCAGTCTGCATTGATTGTATGTTCACTACCAGTTGAGTAACTACAGCTCTAACCAGTTCACTACCTTTCTAAAAACCCTGAAAGTTCCCCTTATTAAATTGTACCCTCACTAAATCTCAGAGTCAGAAGGCATTTCCTGATTGTGCACAACTTTATTACTTCAACAGACGTCTCTTGGCTCGCTAAACAAGTCCTCATTTTTTCCACTTCAAAAACACAAAACAAGGAATCCAACACAAAATACTTTGTTTTTAAATATCTTTTTTTTTGTCAACGCCCCCAAAAAACAATTGCAAAAATGCAGTCTCAAGCTTCCTAAGTGTTGAATAATTTTAGCAGCACTGGAGAAAGTAGGCAATGAGCAGACTGAGATGGGTGAACAGGTAACAATTGGTCACAGTGCATACCTGGAGAGCTGCAGGTAAGCAATGAGAACACTGTCAGGTGGGTAGTGGGGCTCATAGTGCATACCTGGAGAGTTGCAGGTAAGCAATAAGAACACCGTCAGGTGGGTAGCATAGGTCATAGTGCACACCTGGGGAGAGTGCAGTTCACACTTTGTTCTGTATAAGTAGTGGCAGCAATGTTTTAGTTATTTTGAAACTTATTGAGATGGGTTTCTCAGTAACATCACTTAAGGGTTAAGCAATTAAGAATTTTATTAAGGGACAAACAATTGGCTGCTGCTGCCTACTGTTGTAAAAGGAGGTTTCCACACTAACAAGCTTGACTGGCTCACAGTGGTGGCCTGGCTCTCTGACTTTACTGTCTGGGCCATGAAGAGATGACTGCTCACAAGGGCCTGTGCAGGCGCTCATAGTTAGCAGGCTGAGAGCTCTCTGCTTACAGGGGGCACACATGATGATCTGACCCTCACACTTACTGCAGATTCTAGGCCCAGCACTCGACTGCTGACTGCCAACAGAACACAGCTATCAGCCCAGGTTCCGATATGAAGCAGGTCCTTGTTGCACTGGCCAAGGCCCACTCCTCACACAAAGGAAGAACAGAAGTGGGGGTCTCAAAGTCCTGTCCCCAAGAGGCAAGGGGTCCCCCAGGATTCTGCGCCTCCTCAAGATCTCCTTTAACTTGACTTGCCCAGTGACATTTGGCCCAAAGTTATCCGGAATTTTGAAATTTAGAAACTATCCTTAAGCCCAGGTGACGCAGAGCAGTTCCATACTTGATAAACTAAATTGCTAGTTGATCTCACTTGTCTAAATCTGGTATTTTAAAGGTCCTCACTGATGCCTTCCTGTTCCCCATAGGAGGGTTCAAATTAGGTCCCTCAGGAACTAGAGGTGCCAATATAAAGCCAGGGACCCCAGACCTGGGATCCAGGGGCCACAGTCCTGCAGGATTTCTAGTTAAGCAGGTCTTAAGCTTTCGACTGTGTCCCCCGAATCTGGCTTACTCAGTGTGACCCCAGGGTGCGTGGTGTGCTAGGAGCCAGGGGGGCAGGTTGGTGGGCTGAATACGGTCTGCAGCAGGGGGTTGACAGCGCAGCAGCTCCAGTGCTGAGTGACGCCTCCTATTTAGTGTGAACCATTGAAGTGCTGAACAAGAGCTTCTGCTTCCTCTTCCTCCTCTTGCCACCCTTCTCCTCTGAAACACAGGAAGCGGAGATTAGCAAGCACATAGGCACCCGGCGAGTTGGCGCCGGACTGGGCTCGCGGTGCGACTCACCTGCAAGCAGGACGGGCTCGGCTGGGGCCTGGGTGCCATGGTCCAGCTGCAGCAGCGCTGCCTCGAAGGCCTGGCTGAAGGAGTTCTGGAAGCTGGGCACTGGGACCCGATCCGAACCATCGCTCTCCCCATCACTGTCCGGTGCCGGGGGGGCGAGGAGCACCTCTGCTGAGTGAGGGATGGGGAGGGGGGGGTTAGTCAGGCTGTGCTGCCGAGGGTAGGACAGACCGTACAGAGTGGACTGTGCGGAGAGACTTCGAAGGCCGAAAAGAAACTAGATGTGTGAGCTGAGCTATGACTGTAAAGCCGAGCCGCATGCTTACAGATGGGCCATCTGCTTACCGTTCTTCGGGGGGACCTTGGGCCAGCTTTCTGCCCGGGCCTTGCCATCACGCAGCATCTGCACACAGAGACACAGACGGCACCATCAGCGCACAGCACTCGCCTGTGGAGCGACCGGCCAGCTGGACTCAATCACATAACCAGAACTGCCCCCCTGCTGCCCCTTTGTCCCCAACACTGACCTGCGCAAAAGAAGGGCAGTGGGAGTCATCCTCCAAGCTGCCCACACAGGCCGGGGGGCTGTGGCCCCTCAGGGAGGGAAACACTGGACTCACACCATCTGTAACACACAGAGGAAGACGGCACATCGACATGAAGTACTGACAGGAGGACAAAGCTCTCAGACCATGAGCACAGCGTCCAGGTGCCACACGGGCCAATCAGAACACAGTACACAGTGTGCGCTGTGGTGACCCAGGCACTCCTACTCACCAGATGTGGGGCTGGAGCTCAGGGGGGAAGGTGGGGGCAATAGAAACTCTGAGTGCACTGGAGGGCTGCTGTCAGCAGGGGGCAACCCAAACGCTGGGAACTGCTGCAGGTTCTCCAGCCCGATGTGCACTTCCGGGTCTGGAACACAGAAGACATCAGGGAGCTGGGGAACAGATCCTCAGCTATACAGTCTTCCTGCCCGTGTCTGTGTCCCAGTCGCCCAGCTCAGACCACCAGTCCTGTCTCCCCCTCTCCAGCCCCCCAGCTCCGACCTACAGCTACACTGCCTCTCTCTCTCAGTCCCTCAGCTCAAAACCACTAGCCCACAATGCCTCCCTCTCTCTCACTCACATTTTCCTTGCTTCTTGTTCTCCTCAATCTCGATGCGTTTCTCTCTCCGCCTCTCGTCTCTTGCCTTCTTCTGGCGAAAGCGCCTCCTCTTTTCCAGGTCATCTGAAAGAGATGGGGGCACCTGTGTGAAACCGCACGCTGGACATGACTGCAGCAGCACTGCTCTGCCCTGTGCAGTGTCACGTACCTGCAAAGGTGTCCAGAGTCACCTTGGACAGCAGGGGGGGCTGCAGAGCCAGCTCGCAGATACTAAACTCGCAGGTGAGGGGCAGGTGAGACAGGTAGCGGTGGCGTCGACGCAACTCCTGCAGATAGAGGTGAGAGTCCAGAACAACATTCGCTGACGTTGTGCCCCCAGTGCCTCTCCCCTCGTTGAGGGTGAGTGACCCCAGTGTGTCTC